TGCCAGAGAAGACTAAGAAAGGTTTATAGTTTTCGATATCCGATTTATTTTCCTGTTTATAAGTATAAATCGGGATGACACGGGCCGGTTTGAGCACAGGTAGCCCAAGAGAGTGTCGAGTCGAGATTAGCCTGCTAGCAAGCTCTCCGGGGCGCTCTGGCAACGGAGCCGGAAAAGGAATTAAGAAGAGCTTGTAACTACGTTTCTGGAATTTGAATATCTGCATCGAAAAGTCGATGCGAAATGCTGATTGGTGGAGATGACATTAGTAATGATCTTTCACGTGTCGGGCTCGTTTCCGCTTCACGCTGATTGGCAGAAATCTAACAGTTCAGTCGACGGGGAGCCACAGGGGAATTGGGGGCGGAATTCAAATTCCAGAGACGTAGTTGCAACTCTCCTTCCTTTTCCCGCCCCTCCGCCAGAGTGGCCAGAGTGGCCCGGAGAGCTTGCTCACAGGCTAAGCCGAGATAACATTGCCTGAACTGCGAGAAGAATTTGTATGGGGCAAAACTACTTCATTTCATGGCAAAAATTAAGAATAATTAAAAATTATTTTCAGTACAGATCGCTTACTTCAAGTCTTCTACTGGTTTTGGTTCTTGTTGTTTCATGCACAAAAGTGGATTTCTCTAAGAAACTGGGTATACCTGTTGTGCCCGGAAAATTTTGCCGGAAACCACCACTTGAAGTTAGAAGTCGAGCCGTTTTCCCGTCACTATCTATCCAACGAAAAGCTGAAACAGAGTAGCAAAATAAGTAAAAGGGGCAGAATATATAAATTTGTGGCTCATTACTAGAGTAGAAAGCTTTGTAGGTGAAGAGTGACTATGGGTTGTTAAACGTTTGCTTCTATTTAGTTAAGTCTGCTGATTTTGTTGGCAAGCGAAAACAAAGTGTTTTCAAAAGTGTTCGGGTGTTAAAAAAAGATGGCTTATTTCCGCAATTAAATTTTGCAGTTCACCGTATCACTGCTTCTGAATATTTATGGAGTAAAACTAAGAAACTAATATGATATTTCTGTGATTGTTTTTTTTCAGAATTATAATATAAGTTAATAGTGCTAACAATTTGACAACTGCAACTTCAACAAAAACGAAACAAAAAACAAACAGAATATGCAAAGCTGTGTGAAAACTGAATTGGATAATAACTGATGTAAAAAAGGAAAGTTGATCACAAAGAACGCATGCATTACATGCTAACTTTGTTTATTCAGCTTTTGCTCAAGCGTTAATGTTTTACCTTAATTTCATTCGTCTTCCATGAATACGCATTAACAAGAACGTGGATGGTTATACTTCATTTGTTTGCGATGTGGCTTTTATATAACTAGCACCATGAAAAGTGCATCGTTGGTCTGAGAATTTAAATGACCTTTTTTAACATGCTCTGCTCATCGTAGAACATGAACGTACGTATTGTATAAGCGAGGACATCAACTGTGGTAACTACCTCGTGATTGCATCTTATTAGTGAGTTCTTGAGTATACAGGTGTGCGACGTTACCGACGACTTCATGTGGGGTGTATTGGTGACGGAATTACTAGCTGTGATTTCATCAAAAGAAAGTTATGTAGTGAGTTAAGTTTTCACTCGGATCGTCGAAAATCCTTCACGACTATTCGTCATACATCATCATAGAACTGCGGAATGATTAGAATGCTGAAAATATTACTTAAATTATACAGCGAACTTAACTGACCACAGCGCTTATGTCGATGGTTTTTTTTGCCGTTATAAAAGTGAAACAAATGGTTTATTATGATCGTTTGAAGCACCGAAGCATTAAAAATCGACGAAGCTGATGCCCGACGCACCATGAAGTTTTTCTCTTCGCAGTTCGTGCGCAAATTTCTCATTCTTTCAGCAGCAATAATGGTCGTAATCAATCTACTTTGCATGTGGAAAGTAAGCGACCAGATAGAAAAAGAGAAAGAAAAGAAATTGGAAGTAACGTTGGCGATAAAGCTAGAAAAGGTCAGGTACTCAAACCCGATGAAACGCTTGCGTTCAAAAGCAACAACCGCCAAATCTGGTCAGCAGTCTACTTCTCGAGGACAGCTCAGTATAATCCTGTGAAAACAGGAGGATAAATCCCCAGCGACTCCTGTGTATCATACTTCATTTGGGGAAGATGAAATTTCCACTGACAATAACAGAATTAAGCAACCTAAGGCCAGTTCTGAATGGCCGACAAAACAGGTAAGCAGATTCTACTTCGCACCATCTAGTTTATGATGAGTATAGCCGTGTTGAGTTTGAGGATGACTTCCATGTGTGACCCAGGCGAAAACTTCTTTGGGGGGGGGGGTGGGGGAGGGGTATGTGTAATGTTTACTGTTTCCGAAGAAAATACTGTTAAGTGTTTGGAGGGTTATTCGGACATCTTCACAAATAGTCGGACCTCTTCGTTAGTCTTCGGAAATCTTCGACAGTCTCCGGGAATCGTCGGAAGCCTTTGGAAATCTTCTGATGAAATAATCCAGAATTGTCGTAAAATGGCCGAAAACTCCTTGATATGCTAAACAAAATAATATTGGCCTTTTTGGAGCCGTTTTTGCTCCTTTCAGGAATATGCAGTGGATATGGAGAAAGATTTCAACTTGGAAAGTTTAATTGTTAATTCAAAATATTTTATTGTGAAAAATCTGACCGATTTCCGAAAAACGGTGGAAACCGGGGTATATCTGCGCCAGTGACCATGAATTCTTTAATTAAAGATTGAGTTCCCGGCTTGTAGATTGCAATCTTTCTTAAAATTGAACCAAGAGTCAGAGGATAGAGACCGCAGGCAGCGGCCACCAAGAGAGGATAAAGGGGACAGAGAAGGCATCCCCCATATACATCCTATTCCAAAGGTAATTCGTCTCGAGTTATTTTTAAGACCATAGATCCCAAGGGGGATTAGACAACAACCAATCACATAGGGCGAATGTGTTCCGCGTGGATGACCCACGCTCAGAGCCACGCGTCCTTCACGAATTGAAGCAGAAAAAAATGGCGGAAGACGCGGAGAGCGATATTACTAATTTGTTTTGTCGACGAAAACGACTAAAGAGAGATTTCTGCTAAAGCTGTGTCAGCGAAACGGAAATTAAAAAAGAATCGCCCTTCCTCTCTTGTATAGAGCTAACAGTACAGCAGGCAAACCCTTAACACACTGAATATTCTCTCAGGATCATTTATAATTTACAGTTTGAAGAGAGCAATTTCTGGTTTGATGTTTATTCTTTTATTAGTCTTTTATTATTCAACAAAAATAACACTTGGCGTCCTACTTGTTTTATTATACAAACGACCGGTTTCAATAGACCGGCGACATTTCTCATTTTATTAAAGCACTGAGGTTACGACAACTTCGAGTTAAACTGATTTCACGGGTTGTCAAAGAGTCCAGCGATTCCCTTTTCCCAGGTGAGCTCCGACTCATTTCGCTTTAAAATTTAGGAATGCTCTCGATCTCTTTACGCTTTCATTGCCTTTCGCCCGAAATGTTTTGCACAGAGTTTAGTCCTGCGAAACCTCAAAACATCCACGCAGCGCGGGAGGTAACTTTATCCCGATTCTCAAAATAACTCGAGACGAATTACCTATGGAATAGGGTGTGTATGGGGGATGCCTTCTCTGTCCCCTTTATCCTCTCTTGGCGGGCAGTACACCTATAAACGTTTCCACAGATATGATCTCCCAAGACTTACTTTAAGGGTAACAAACTGGCTTGAATCTCTAAATTAAATATTTTTGAGCTTTAAAGCAAGTTCTCTAAACTTTATTTCAGTTGCTCGGAAATGAAAGGTACGCTTCAAAAGTTACCTGCAAATTATTGCAACCTCATGACCAGGGTCCCTCTTTTCCTTACTCGAAGAAGAAAAAGACCCTAGCATGAGAGTGCAGAAATTTGGTTGGCTACATTTATTTATTTTCATGGCATCAGGTTAGATGGTATCTAAATGGTGTCCTATAAGGATATCAAATTCTGATATAAGTATGCCCATCAACGCAAAAGCAAAAGGGAGACAGGATAATCACGGGTAGTCGCTTTGCCAAGGAGAAATAATAACTGTCTACACGTACACTTCTCTGTAGGTACATACTCTAACGCCACTGGCACACGAAGATGACTCGCACAGAACCTTTGCCCCTCAAGAGTATATCAAAGTAAGTGATATCTGCCGCTAATTTATGTGGGTAGACAGTTAAAACGTTTGGTAAAATCAGATTAGCATTAACCAAAATAATGTTCTGCGCATGTGTCTCGAGGACGAACTACACATGTAGAAAGCAATGAATACCGCTTATACAAATGATATGCTACTGGTATACAGAGTAAACTATCGCCCTATCTCTGAGATAGAAAGGGGTTAAGATGAGTTACTAAGAGACTTAGTAAGTCTTTGAAAGGGCGATGGAAAGGGGGAACTGGAAGTGAAGAGGAGGGACTCTCTTCACTCTTCAGTCTTCATCCCATGCGTCGAAAGTTCGCTCAGTCCTAGGCTATAGATCAGGGATTAAAAAAATACTTAATGGTTAATGGTCATACTTAATTTAAGAAAATGGTTCGGGAAAAAGGTGTTAGGCTGCGTGGCAGCAGTTCGTAAGGGAAGGGAAAAGAAGGTATTTGGGCGGGCGAGAAGGCGAATAGCGTGCTAGTTAGTAGGGAGGAAGTTAAACCCCTCCCTCCTTCCACGAGCCCACGTCGCAAACACTTGCCACTCATGATCATGCTACGAAAGAAGCCTGTACTTCCACCTATTTTCTTGCAAGCGGCTATTTTACAGTAATGCTATAACCACTGGCATTATGCTCAATAACTGACGTTCTTGAGTTTTACGAGAGTTGTTTATGGAAAGGCTTAGAACAATATCATAGGTTAGTCATTATCAGTTCTTAAATCAATTCTATATTTTTTGCCCTAGCTGGATAATTTCAAAGCTGTTGACAAGCATGATTTTGAAGCTCCTGTATCGACACAAGCCTTTCCATCCGAGAAAGAAGCTATGATGGCCTGCCATCAGCTTGCAGAAGAAAAATGCCAAGCAATCTTTAAACCAAAGGACGATACAAACTACTTTACTTTAGGATCCGAGTTTATTCTTTTCGCAGATGACAATTCTACAATACTTGTCAAAAAGGATTTTCTTACCAGTCTTGGTGAGTATGAGTGGACCGCGTCACGCTCTACAGAAATTGCAATTTTGCGCCATTTGGAAAACGAAATTAAAACTGTATAAATTTCAGTTTTTTCGGGGCTAGGAATTGCGTTCATTCTTTAAGCTATCAGAGTAAATAATGACTTCCAAGATTTTCTTAGCCCAGAAGAAAACATTTTCATAACAAGTAAGATGTTATATCCAATTTTAGTTTAAAGGACACAAATGAACTTTATTGTGGCACAGAGACAAAGAGGTCAGTGCCGAAGTAACATACAATAGCTTAGAACTCTGGCCTTAGCCCGGCAAAGAGTTAACTGTTGTAAACTGGCAACTCTAATTTATGGCCTGTGTTTTCTAGAATTCTATGTCAATAATCTGAAGTGCGGAACGTCACCAACGAAAGTACAAAGACCCATTTCGTCTGGAGAAGTGAGCTGTCGTCTTCCGAATATAGATCCTTTTGACGCAAGTTCCATGAGGTATTTTCTACCTATAGTACCGATTGCGTGTGAACGCGACGCAACGCTATTTACCAGCTACCGTGACGGTCTTCTCAAAGTCGTGGTTTATCATGACAGAGGTGCGCCTGTTACAAATCTGTCCTTTCAAACGATACATAGGCAAACGGATGGCTCCGATTCTGGATTCCGCTTAGGAAATCGAAGACCATTGAAGTATAAAGCACCAGTGTTGAAATTAAACCACGATTTCATTCAAGTGAACGCCGAGTTCTTCAATGGAGTGAAACAAACTGATTTTCACGCACAGGTTGTCCCCAAAAGTCACGTGCTGCGGCGAGTACCGCAACAAAGGGCTGGTATACCATTAAATATTGTCATTTTAGGATTGGACCAAACCTCACACGCAACTTTTCAGCGTCTCCTTCGCAGCTCGTACAAGTTCCTGCAGAACAAGCTACAGGCATTCATGTTCAATGGGTTCTCTTTAGTACGTGAGGGGACCACGCCTCAGCTGACAGCGCTCTTGACCGGACGGAGTCTGGAGGAGAATTGTAAAATTCACGAGGCGAGGACTGGCTTCAAGGGCGCCGGAACTGTGGATCCATGGCCGTTTATTTTCAAGTCGTTAAAGGAGTACGGTTACGCTACTATGTTTAGTGAAGATGTTCCACCTATAGGTAAACTAGTCACATCGATTTCTTTCCTTGAGCGCACTGATCTCTTTTATTTTCTTTGCAGTCTTAGTAAGCAGTCTTTGGGTGCCCTGTGTGTCTTTCCTATAGCGATCAATTACTGTTAGTAGGTATTTCTCCCCTCTCCAAGCTGTCGGGAACTATTTACCTCCAAATCTCACTCGGGCAGGAGTCCATGCAGCTCCTGATCTGGAAGAACGAGCTGTTTGTTTTGGTTAGTATATTAGGCCGAATTTAGGTGACGCGATTTTGCAAGATGGTTCCAAGAGAAAGTTATTTCTACAGCTATTTTATTGCATAAGTTAAATTTATATGTTTTTGTTTTGCCTTCAGGTGCTTTCAGTATGAGGCTCAAAGGCTTTAGTGAGCCACCTTGTGATCATTACGCGCGACCGTTTTCGTCAGCGGTGCCACACAAACTAAACGCAGGAGTACTTCATGAGAAATGCATCAATGCTCAACCTCAACACAAAATTCAGCTTGAATATCTGAAGAGCATGTTTAGAGCTTATCCCAAAACACCTAAATTCGGTTTTATTTTCCTGAGTAGCCTCGCCATCATAACACAATATTACCACTTGGTACTGCAGAGAAAGACTTTTACGAGTTCTTTAAATCGATGCGGGACTCGGGATTTTTGAATGACACCATGCTCGTTGTCATGGGAGACCACGGCGCTCGCACAGGGAAGTTCCGATCGACCATGCAGGGAAAGCTGGAGGAGCGGTTACCATTGCTATCCGTTACGCTGCCAGATAACTTCCGCTTGAAATACTCGAAACTGACAAAGAACTTCAAATCAAATACAAATATTATTATATCACCGTTGGATTTGCACGCAACTTTTATGCATTTGCTCAAGTATCCATTTGATCCTTCACAGACGGAACTCACCCGTGGAATAAGTCTTTTCTCAAAACTTCCTCGAAATCGAACATGTCAAGACGCTAAGATACCAGAGTACTTTTGCCCATGTGTTCAGTGGTTGCCTCTGAACACCACCCATGCGCATGTTCGTATTGGAGCCCAGATTGCCACTGATCACATTAACAGCTTGCTCAAGAAAGACCCTAAAGTGAGCAGGCTATGTGAACGATTAACACTAGACGTTATTTTAGGCGCCTGGCAAGAATTAACTACCAAGTTCTAAAGTGCAAACATTTAGTGGAATACAAGATGGTGATGGCTTAGGTCTCGGAAAACCGGAGTTTAAGAACGCAACAAAACCAAATGAATGTATCTACCAGGTTAAGTTTCGAACCACACCGGGTTTTGCAGTTTTTGAGGCGTCTGTTAAGCTTATTGAGGGTCGCTTTGAAGTGAGTGGGCACATCAGTCGAATAAATCTTTATGGATCACAACCGCATTGCATAAAAAACTCACATCCCCATTTGAGGGAATTTTGCTACTGTGGTCATGATACCTGGAAGAAGAGCGTTGAAGAGTGGTGACCGACGACTTACAATCAAACCAGCTTGATACGAACACCAAACGGACAGAGCTTTGTTTCATGTTGAAGTAGGAATTAATGGTATAAAGCTTGGCATATTTGAAATCAAAGGAAACTCATCCTCTCAACTAGTCCGCTTTAAGAAGGCGTCCCTAGGGAAAAGTTCCATTGTAACCTTATAAGTTGCTTTTTAACTGTGGAAGTACCGTTAGTTTCAGAAAAAAGATACAAATACTCACTACTCCAAGGATTTCTAATTAAGAAGAGAGAGAGAAAAAAAGAGATCCTGTAGATGTAAAAGAGGCGCTAGTCGCTTTTCCAATCTCTCACTCATAAGAATTCGGGACGAGCGAAAAGAAAAGCGGGATCGGTGAAAAAAAAGAAATAGAGAGAGACCAAGGGTGCACTGTCTCTCCCCTGTCCTCGCATGATTAACGGGCCATTTCCGAGTTGCCTTAAGCCTCTGTTTCAAAGCGAGACTAAGTGTGGATCCATTGATATGAAAATAATTTTTTATTCACCATTGACATAGACCATAATTCACCTTGCTTACCCCCCAAAATTTGCGTAACAAGTGTTTTCAATTTCCCCTGGCTATTCGTCTCAAGAGAAATTGAGTCAATAGTTATGCAATTTTTTTTTTGTGGGGATGGGGGGAGAGTTTAAACTAGATGCATTATGGTCTATGTGAAAATGGTGAATTCTCAAACCAGCTTGATATAGACTACGTGTGAGGTGTGATGGCCCAGTGGGCTATGTTTTGGACTTACTATTAAACGGAATCAAGAGTTGCGGATTCCGGCCCTGTCCACAAGAGTTGTCCTTGTACGCCATAGCCTACGTAGCAGGGGCAAAGGGAGAAATTTCAAGGATGCGCGCGCGCACGAGGGGAGAAAAGGAGGAGGGGGCCTTCTTTTCTCTTTGCATGTTCCTCTCTTGCGCTATATTAAAATTCAGGTGGTGTGCGCACTACGATTGCGATGCATTGTGGATTCAAAATTTTCAAGATGGCGGCGAAGGTCGAGAAATTTCGCAGGTTATATGCTTTATTTTTCAATAGATACTGTTCTTTCCTTAGATCGTTTTTCTCGATTTCATAAGCTAATATTTGTTTAGATTTTTTCTGTGAAGAAAAACAAATCAATATTCTTCATTTCAATCTAAAACGTGGAGCCCGAAGATTCCTCCTGTAAGAGCATGAAATTTGGACCCGGTTTTTAAGAAGCTATAATTTCCATTATATTGCCCGTCGAAAGTAGAAGATAGTTGTAAGTGTTTCTACAAACCTTGTTCTACGCTAATTTTTTATCGCTCTCCAACGCGCCCCACGTTTTGTGATACTTTTTGCGAATTGAAACCGGCATGTTTTCATGGGAAAATGTAGCCTCGCGAAGACCAATGTGACATGTTAGTGGAAGTCTTACAGTTGTAATCACAAGCTGATCACAAAATAGCGGGGCAGCGGCGACTGGTTCCTCCAAACAATAGCATTAGGTGAGCATAAAATGTTCGAAATTGGTATATAAATAGGCTGATGAGTACTCTGATGTAGGAATGTCTGTTTTTGTAATAGGACTAAAAAAAGCATAATAAAATTGCAGTCATACATGTGATTCCCTTTATGTAGGTATAAAGAATTACAGGTATTGAATTAAATGATAAGTTTGATTATACAGTTAAACCCTGTGCATTTGGAAACCAGCCATCCTTTATGAAAAATGGTTTTTGGGAGAATTTGCAAGAATAGTGCAGTGTAGAAGAAGAGTTTCATAACATCCACCAAGCTTGCACTTTACTTTTATTCAGAGAAATATAATGCACATCACTCTTGAGAAAAGAAAATCATAATCTACTTCCAAGATTGGTGTATATTGTTGAGTGGATGTTATGACTCTGTCAGTTTCTTGCCTAGTCCCTGTTTTATTCTGTGGTGATTAGCCTCCGTAGCAGGCATTTAAAAGGAAAGGGAAAGGGGTTTTGGGCACAAGAGAAATGTGAAGAGTGCATCAGGAAGGAGGGAGTGATTTCAACATTCACCTGGTTGATATTTATAATGCAAAAAACAATTAGTCTCCTGTATGGCAAGCATTTCCCTCCCTCCTTCTCTTACATTTCTCCTGCACCAAGACCTACTTTCCCTTTTCTTTGAAATGCCTGCCACACAGACTAAGTGATGTCATTCAATCTGTTTACCCGTCTACACTGTTTAATATATATCAAGCAATTTGCATATTTTGGTGGCTTTAGTTAAAATATAAATTTATTGATCATTGAATGTACTTTTGATATTGGAAAACCAATGCTGCAAAAATGGTGACAGGGAAAGGAAATAGAAAAAGTGGAACAATGGGGAAGTAAAAATGATGAGACTAGGAACCTGAATTAACTAAGTAAGCCTAAACAGATTCTTATATAAATAGTAGTTAGCACAAGTTTAGGCTATTTAGGTTTTTAAATGGGTTCATATTTTCTGAAGAAAAAATGTAACTAAGAGTATTTTTGTTTCACCTTATTCCTCATATAAAGTCTGCATACCAAATTAGAAGTTATGTGAGAATGGACATAAAACGAGGAGTGTATTTAAATTTAAACATTGCCATTTACATTGCAGTTGGAGTGATAAGACAGCTTTGTCTCCAAAGAAGATTCTAAATGTTGATTTATCTCTGCTCAAGTGTACAGAATTTTTTCATAGATTTCAAAAATAAGAACCTGTCTCAAATTTGAGGCTAAACAGGTTTTTATATAGAGGGGGCTCATCTGGCATATTTTAGCCTAACAGGTTCTTAAAATTCAGGGTCTAAGTCAGGGGGTTTTACTGTACTACTAGGATCCACCTCTGCGGTAACTGGTAACCCAAAAGCCCTCTTTACGGACAACTGCTTCATACAGACACCTGATCAAGGCTGTGCTCTAGCAGAGCCCTGTGGCCCCTGGCACCTAACTTTTGCTTTTGGGTAACTAGAAAATCTCAGACTTTTCATACAAATCATATGCTGGGCAGCCTAGATTTTACAGGTTCAGAGAACTGGGCTCCTTTCAATGTTCCTTAGAGCACAGCCTTGCTCATTATTACAGACAGCTTGCTTTGTTCCTTGGAAAAAAGCCCTTAAATTCTTCTCTAAATGAAGATGGACAATTTGTACGGTCCCCTCAGTGTCTGTATAACAGAGTTGACTGTGAGTCTGATGAGACCTATGACGCCATATTTGAATTATAAAATTGGGGTGAGGAGAAAGGAAAGGGGTCTCAAGCTATGCTGCCCCAGCCCTGATTACAGGAGATTTGTAAACATGTATGAATTTCACACTTTGAAGAGTTTTTATAATCCAAAAAAATATGTGATAACATGTGTTTTTACATACTGACACAATCATTAAACAAATAGTGGCTGAAGCTTTTAAAATCTATTGACTGCATCAGGCTTTGTAATCACAAATGATTGCCATTTTCAGTTTCAATGCAGTTATAAGACATTCTATGACTCATACCAATAGAAAATATATGGGCAAATAAAGATGCTCAATATTATATTATCTATAAAGAGGACACAAGTTCATTGTACACAAATACTCTCTACTTTATTTACTTGTCTTCATGTGATGACAAATACAGATGTTAAGCAAAACGAAATGCAGACTTGGTACTTGAATGCCGATTGTTGTCTCTCTGGACAGTGTTATCCTTGTGTCGCGGGTCATAAAAGCTCCGTCACTTTCACAAAAAGCATAGAGAACAAGCGAGGAGCAGAGTAAGGTTAGAGGTATAAAATGGTGGAGAACTTGCCAATCAAATCAACTGAAAAACTTGCCGTGAAACTTGCGGAAATAAATGCCGTCAAATGTCTTACAATGATTACCGTGTTAGATTTGTGTAGACTTGAGTATCCGGCCGCGTCGGTCTCAATAAAGAAAAAGAAGTGAACTCCTAGCAGCCTTTAAAAGAGCCTAACATAACCTTTGGCGTACAATGAAACACACAGCACGTGTTTGCTTTTTTTTTTTTTTTCTACAAAAGCGGTGTTACGATCTTCAAAACGTGAATATAATCTTAGCATAGGTATAACTCAGGCTAAGAATTAAAAGATAATTCGGCTCTAGCTCATCCTCTCGTTTTTTTTCTTCTAGCGGTCCAGCTTAATAAGGAACTCAAGGGTGACGAAAATTGTACGCCTTAGTTAATAGGACTTAATACTAGATTACAAAAGTTGCTTCCTCTTTGAAAAGATAAGAGTGAAGACTACAGAAGTTAGAGAGTGAATGTAACAAAACAGGTGACAACAGGTGGCGTTCCCGAGGTCTCTCCTCCAGGGGAAAGAAAGAAGAGAGACACTAGAAACGAGGTTGAACAGGTATAAATATTTGTATAGGATTAACACAAATATCAATCCGGGTTATTTTTCAATTATTGGATTCGGCTTTCGTATGATATGAAGAATTATTCACACACAGGAGGGTGTCATCCACTGTGGGCCTCGACAGCTAATATCCTCGTGAAACTGCATATTTTTTCAGATCATACGAAAGCCCTGTCTTCATTTACCTATTCCTCGGAATGTCTAGTCTATCAACCATTCTAAAAATGGCAGATGTCATCCGTCGAGTTGTATTTTTGCTGTTTGTAGGCAGTACGTTGGTTGTTTCTTCTTCACAAAACGTGTGAAATTTTCCGCCATTTCTACAGCTCTACCAAAAAATGCAACCTCTTGCCCCGGGCTTCACGGTTGCCGTCCCTTTCTCTAGCGTTTATCATGTAGTACTGACGCTACTTTATCGCATATCGCAAACGTCTTTTAGTTGGTCAACGGTAGCTGGTTATGAAGAATTTATAGCCGGGGGATTGAAGCCAATCAGAAACAGAGAAATTTTTTAAAGAATAAAATCAACGTTTACGTCACAAAAGAAGCTTTCAAGGATTCACGCATTTTTAATGAAGCGATTGTTAAGTCAGTTCTCGACTGAGTACACTCTTGATATTCCTATATAACTAACAGGCCATTTCCGAGTTCCAAAAACCCTCTCTTTGGAAATGAGGCTAAGTGCAAAACCTTTCTAGTGATATAAAAATTAGTTTCACTTGCATGGGAATAAAAAAATAATTTTCATATCAATGGTTTCGCACTTAGCCTCACTTTGAAAGAGAGGCTTGGAGATTTAACCTTTACATATAAGAAAAAATTATATTGAAGTAAAATAGCATTTTCAAAACCTGTGTCTAACACATTGATACAAACACTGTAAAATATTTTTTCTAAAAAAAAAGGCTACAAAAAAATCTATGAATTAATCATTTTTCCAGTTACATGTACACTTAACTGTATAAAACTCGTTAACTTTTTATAGCTCAGGGGCGTAGTTACCTGTACGCCAGTACACATGTGCGTACCAGCTGGAAAAAAATGTCCAAGTTAAATGGAAACAAATGGGGAAAAGCGCAATTTAAGGGGTAAGGAAATGGACGTCCCTTTCCTTCTCTCCCAATTCCCCTCTCCCTTTGCACTCCCTCTCCCTCTCGTTTCGACACCTGCCAGGCAGGCCAAACTCTATGTATCCCATAGGTCACAAATCTATTCATAACATGAAATTACAGGTTAAAAATATTTGTAACTTGTACTTTAACTCTGTTACGTCCACCTCATAGTAGGTCTGCAAAGACAGGCATCCTACACTCTATCATCATGTCGTACAGTGCACCCACATTGAGGTATCGCTGTTGAGATATAAACGCAATAGCGGCCTCACACGGGTTCTGTATCCGGGTATCCAGGTAACGAATCTCATGTGGCGCCAAGCCCAGTTTCTCAGCAAGCGGCTTCCACTCTTCTCCTCCTACAAAAACGAATATCATATTTCACTTTTACAGTCAAGCCAGGTCACGCGTACCCTAGACTACGAGTAGTCCCCCATTTTTCCTCAGGGAGAGTAGAGCGAGCGAAACGCGAGCGCGCGTGAAAATCACCCCATGCGAGAAAAGGCGACACCCGGCGTGTAGCCTTTTCCCGCGTGGGTTGATTTTCACGCGCGCCCGAGTTTCGCTCGCTCTACTATCCCTGAGGAAAATTGGGGGACTACTCGTAGTCTACGCGTATCCCTCAAGATCTCATTAATGCGTTAATTATTCGAAAGTTGAATCCGTCGGTAGTTGTAGATTTCAGATTCATCTCTGTGTGCATTCTTGCATCCGTAATGAGCCGTGAATTCACACGCTATTCAGTTACGAAATTTCTACCAGTTCAGTTTCCCTGAATTTGATGTAAATGTCTTCTAAGAAATTTTTAAATCCATTCAAAGACGTTAGATCTGACCAAATATAGGGAAGTTCTCGTAAAATATCCACTGCTCATTGCGCATGCAGGAATGCCGATTTGAATTTCACACTAGTTACGGGAACGACTAACGGATTCATTTTTCAAATATTTATTTTATTAATAGAATCTTGGGGGGTATGCTTGACCTGCCTTGACTGTAAAGAATACGATTATGTGCGTTCATTTTTTCCGCCAAACTTATTACCGGCAGTTTTTTTTTCATCTATCTGTCCCCTTATTGAAGATAAAAAAATTACGTCTTAACATTGTTAAAGTGTTGTGGATATAGGCGTGAAAGGTGTAATATCGTAGAAATACCCTCGGTTTTAGATGCAAGATGCAATTTAAAGTGAGATTTAAAAGATAGCGTAGTATAGTACATTCATTCACAGAGCTCGCAGGAGTCATAACGAAAATTATTTCTCTGTGACCAGTCTGAGCTGTCATATAATTCTACAAATGTGAATTACTGATCAACCTGTCACAACATAAATGACAATCACCGCTTAAATGAACTGTAAGACGCTGCATCTGAGGAGAAGGTACATTTCGAACATCAAGGCACTCGGGCAACAAAGGACCTGTAGGAAAGAGAGTGATGTCAAAAAGGGCAACAGATAGGTGCAGGGCTGAAAGAAATTAAGAAAATGAAGGAACTTGATAGAGGAATTCACTTTAGAGACAAAAACTGTGTGAAAAACAACTTTCGTACATTTTTTAAGGACATTTTGTTTTTTTCTTGAAAATTTTGGCCCGCCTTGTTTAGAAGATTGATTATTTGAACACAACGCCAAGAAAAGAAACACAGTGAGCTACAGTGAAGCTATTACTGATTTGAGCAACTGCTCTAAACTACAGTCTATACCGCCGATATTGCATACGCCTCATTCAAAAATCCACGGACAGTAAAATGTTCGGACTGTGCTATCGTTCGTACGGAAATGTTTCAGAAAATTTTTCGTGTGTGAGATCTATTCCTTATCCCGCGAGCTTCATCATCGCCTCTTTAAATCCTGACCTGTGCGTTGCTCATGAACAATATGTTATTAAGCAGGTCGAGGGATCAGGGAGCTATGGGGCTGGTGGGCCTTCTGCATTTGCAAAAGTACTTCTAATCTTAAACACATTTTACTACTAAATATACGTTTTTGTGCAGAAAACTTACAGAATGGTGATAAACATTTTACCAAATTTTCTCAGGACTGATAGAAATAAACGCATTTCCGGTGATTTCAGAAAAAGTCTTAATTTCAATAATTTCCGGAGAAGCATGCCTGGACTCCCCTAAATAACCTCGTGCCTTCCGCACTCGCTGAACTCGCACTATGCGCGAGCTTTCCCTACCAATCCAAAATATTCTCTGCGTCCGTACTTACATTAACTTACATTAACCCCCGCAACAAACTTTATACCTGTAGTTCCAGCTGGTGTAACCTCTCTCAATTCTCTAACCACGTCAAGTCTGTTGGACTGTTTTGCTTTATTTGCAAGGCAACGAATCAATCGTTTGGTCTCAGGGTCTGGATTTTCTAAGGAAACTTCATCCAATTTCAAACAGTCTTTCAGTTGAAGTACTACCTCTCTGGAGTCACACGACTGCGACATGAGTGTTTCTATAGCCTTGCTTGGAAGTACAAGCAATTTTTCATCAATTCCTGCGAAAGGCAATGATTTTTTACAACTTCATGTTCGACTTTCAGCATTTAGACTTGGTAAATAAAGCACAGGCGCTTGTACGCTATCCTCGGCAAGGACAGAGTGGTTTGTTTGGGGAACTCTAGTCATTTCGAAGGCTACCAAGTTTGCAGAATAAAGATTAATTAACTACCAGGGTATGCTAGAGGTAGATTAAGATATCTCCAAGAGACGAATATTTTTGTCTGAATGGTTTTAATTACACGAATAACTTAGTTCACTCGTTTACATTATCCATCCAGCCTATTAGTGTGGCATTCTTACCTCCTCCAGAAGCTGAAGGTCTTGGCTCACTTTCGTCAGCTATAACCTGTAACAAAGACGGAAGAGAGAATTAAACAAGGTCGATTTTAGGTGCTCTGAACGCTATCTTATGGACCGTTTGTTGCCTTGTGGGCAGGCGAAGGGGTGGGGAAGGGGGGTGGTAGTGTACTGAAAGTCACCTAGCTTCAAAGGGCCTATTTCTGCTTTACTTGTAAAGAAACACGTGCCGGTGATCTCCTGCGGTCTTAACCAACAGAGCATTGAGAAAACGCTAAAACTGTATTAAGCGTACACCCACGGGACCATCGCCAGTGTCTGATAGATCGAGATGTCCACTTAAACCAGATTGGTTTTACAGTTACTAAGGAAAGAAAAGAGTAGGACTCAATCACGATCGTGTTCGGTTAATATGGGGACCACTTGATACGGGTTTCTCATCATTGCTCTCGTGAGAAAATACTGAGGTTTAACAAAGTGAGAGTGTTTGATTTGAGTGTCTGGGATAACCAACTGCCGCTAAAGGAATAGATAAAATATAACCGGGTTTGGTAGTAAATGTATTACAGCAAGAGTAAGAGTCTATTCACCTGTTCATCGGAAGTTTGAAACCAAGGTGCAAACCGTTTGACGTGAACTTTGTCAATTTCTGCAGTAGGACATCTGCGACACCTGATGAAATCTTTGGCCTTGCGCAAATCAGACTCAGATACGAAGTGCAGACATTCCTCTTGCTCACACCACCACTGCTTGTGATGTTTGCAGCAGTAATTAGCTTTACGTTCTTGGCAACAAACGGGGCAGATGACACCTACTTTATATTTCATATTCTTAAACCAAAAGAATTCTTCTCGCATGCACTCAAGCATCAACACCAGTTGTCTTCGCACAGCACGAGCACAGGCCCCTTCAAATCCATCATAGTTGGGAACTGCAGACAGGTTCAGCTTAGACTGTAAACATTCTGTCAGGTTTGTACACAGGTTTCCTCTGTGAACCACAACTTCAATACACGATGAATGGCACAGAAGAATTACAGAGCAGTCGTCATCTGCAGAGGTGTAAAACCGCGCAAAATTAGCGTACAATTGAGGATTCTCTTTCCTCCAAAATTCGTCTTGGCCCCACTGAAAAAACTGCAACACAAGTCGGGGAAAAAAGCCTGGAGGAACCTGCCCAGATTCGAACCTAATATAAAAGGATGGAATTTGTGCGGAGGCTATCAATTTGATAATATCCCTTGGTGGATGAGACATTAGCATGGAGGGCACGAGATACTGCTTGCCACATGAAGCATCTGATGATGGCCAAGGACAAAGCAAGCTGAATTTCTCCATGATTTCTAGAAGGCTCGGAAACATTTCTTTTGGAATTGATAAAGGATCCCACATAAGTTCCAAAAGTTTATACTCCATAATGCCCTCTGTCTGCAGCCTTCTCCACAATTCTGTTTCTTTTCCGTCATAGGGACCGGGCTTGACGGTTATCACCGACGTAAACAAGTCGACCAGCCACTGGGGATCCAAGATGACCATATTATTCAAAAGTGGAGAACTGTCAAAATGAATCAAGATTCTCTGGTCATGTAGAAAGTTCAGCAGTGTTGTAAATTCCCGATCATCCTCAATGTGACACATTTTGGACGCAATCTGTTTTGTACCTTCCAGAGAAATCCACTTTTTCCCATCTTTTACTTTGGTTTGAAGAGCCTTTTCGAATCTTAGCCACTTTATTGGGTAGTCTTCTTTCATCTGTGGTAGCTCCTTAGCAACAGCAACGACTTTTTCCCACAAACGCTTGACTTCTGGACACTCTGATTTACTCCCTGACTTTGTGTTATCCACGACAAACACGTCTTTATACAATTGGTTTTTGTAAGGCCTGGTCTTCAAGGAACCAAACACTTCACGCGCTAGCACAAATGGATCTGCCCCACCACAAGGTTCATCAGCATGAGTACAAACAAGGAACACAGGGGGAGTATTAATCGGTGATTGTCCCAAACGTATCTGCTGGTTTTCATCTTGATTGGCTATTGAGGAAACCCATGTCATCCAGAAATCCAGGTAGTCTAGGTTACTTTTACAATCATGATTGTCTAAAATCATGCTGTACATTCCTTGCTTTACGGTGGGATCGGCTCTTTCATGAAGACCTCGGCTGAGGTCAAAAACTAACAGGTACACTGCTCTTTGTGTGAGGAAAAGTGGATGCGTTGCATAGTAGACAGGTTGTCCAGCAAAATCCCAAACAATTGAATACATTTCCGCATCGTCTCCAACTCTCTCTTTCCCAACTTTCTTTAGTAAGTTTTTTATCCTCTCTGCTACCTCATCTGGTATCTTGACTACATAGTTCTTTTCTTCTTGGCAAGCTACAGAATATGCACCAGATTCTTGAACAGATTCTGCTGCATTTTTTGATGCCACACGTGATGATGCAATTTTTGCCTCCTTTGACAGCAAATTCTCCTTTGAATCAATGTTTCTGGGAGTTAAACCTCCAACGACTAAACGAGCCATGTGGTGCTCAAAAGAGAGGGCTTCTCTGAAATCAATCTTTGCTTGATTGTTCACGTTATTCTCACCTGGCATGCAAATATCACTAGAGACATTGAAATGTGAGGGTCCAGCATCTATCCCCACTGTGCTGTCTTCGTCTGGGTTGAAGGGTTTTCCCATCATCGAATTCTTAAGGCTGGTTTTTCCGGAGCGATCTTGTCCAATCACCATGATCGGCAACCTCTTGAAACGAGTTTTTCCTTCATTAAGAGCCTTGTTATAGGCTTCCAGAGCCAAGGGACCACGTAAATTAATCTCTTCAGGAACGCGGGTGAACGCTAGAAACATCATAAAGTGAAACGATAGTTCAGATTTATGTCTATTTGCCCATTTACCTTTTTTGGCTCGGTCAGTGTGACGAAATTATCACAGAGGGGATAAGTATTCCTAGAAACACAGTTGATAGAAATTAACACGACAAAAATCAAAACTGACCCGCTGTTCCATTGGAAGATAGAGGGTGACCAGGCCGTATGAGTCGGAGGAGAGAGTCGTCCGGCAAATTTCCGAATTACAGAATAGCATAGAATGAACCGTGATTCTTTTTAACAGATTTAGGTGTTTTCAAAACAGATGGCCCTCTAGTAAACTAAGTTCAAGTTGCAATTCGATAATGATTCAATGCTGTGGTGAGAATTTTCTAAATTAAGGCTTAGTTTACCATGCATGCAAGCACTTCAATTTGGAAATTTACTCCTTCCACCTTGGGTCCAAGTTCAACTTTTCTTCATTCACACTCTTGAGTCCGGCCGCTCATAAAAATTAACCCCACTAAGCTATTTTAACCAGGTTTAACATTTGGAAGAATTTTTGATTGGGTTATTAAAAGTTAACCCGGTTAGTGTCTTTTTGTTATACTGTTTTCGGTCCTCTCTCCTCAGGGACCGATATAATGCCTAATAACGTAACATGTAGCAAATCTTACCCTCAGCCCGCTGTTTATACTGATCATCAGGATCTATTGTATTGCCAGCGAACAGTAAATTGCCTATAGCTTAAAACAAAGACATTTTCTTTAAGTTTTGAAAAAGAAAAGTTATCACAGGGTCCGAAATTGCGCCTTCCTGGGCGCCAATGCGACTAAAAATTTAGTCCTGGCGACCAGAATTTCATAGCTGGTCGCCAGCTAGCGACTTGTAAAGCAGGTTGTTACTGTGCAATTTAACGTTCGGAGAAACTGATTAAGAATTGAAACCTCGAAGCTATTTGCCAACAGGAGTCTTACTTTTTGTCCTGCTGCTATTTTTTAATTAATTAATAATACCTCCACAACAGCTACTATCAATATGAGTTGTACGTTTCCAAGCCGTCATGTTTTCAGCTGAAATACGGTAAGTACGTTATGTACTTTGCGGACTGGTACGAGTGATGTGGCACAGTTGTAGCCTGGTACGAGCAACATGGCAGCTTGACTCGTGTTTACGTTTCGTGGTAGTTATCGGAAAAAAATAGAGTTTTGATAAGATCAGTGCAGTCATGGGCAGACAGCTTTCTGTTCCTACATTCTAAGTCAGACAGCTTTATATCTCCAAAAAGTAATTTGTGGAAAACAAAAAAGACTTCACTCGTACACGTACGGTTGTTTTCTGGTATCGGAAGTAGTGCAATTTTCGAGCATAAAAACGTCCATACCATGCATTTTTTATTCGTGCTGAAACTATTATTGAAAAAAAGGGAGGGGGAATTTTTGGCGACCACAATTTGCCCTTTAGCGACCAAAAATTTATACTTGATCGCCAGTTGGCGCCCGTATTAAAAAGTTAATTTCGGACCCTGTATCATATATTTCAAACAAGTAAGAAGGATACGAAAAAGTCTGCAAAAACTGATATCTAATCACAACTCCGAATACCTGCTAGAGTGTCAAGAATAAGCCGTCGCTAAAACTCATTTTAATTACTTTCTCAAGGAGATCACTTTTCTCCGTTTGGATTACGCTGTAAAATCTCCTTTAAGATTTTAAGACAGTCGATTCCAAGACAGTCGCTGCTTTCTAGCTCCCTAAACAATGATCGAACATCTCTGATTCTAAAAGGAACTACTAAGAGCTAGGGCGGTTCAATGCTATGGCGGAATTTTGTAAATTTGGGATTTACCATGCATGCAACTGAGCACTTCAGTTTTCACCTTGCGTCCAAGTTCAACTTTCTTTTTTCACAAATGAGTCCGGCCGCTCAAAAAAATTAACCCCACTAAGCTATTTTAACCAGGTTACATTTGAAAGAATTTTTGATTGGGTTATTAAAAATTAACCTGGTTAACTTGCTAAGAGCGGCCGCACCCGTGAGAAGATGCTGACTTGATACGTCATAAAACTACTTCCTGTAAGGGAATTTTTTCTGACAATGGTTATGCTGCCCCATAAGACTATGAAGGGTGTTACGTTTTGTCAAGTGTGTCACATGATCACAGTATTTGGTTAAGAGATTGCTATAAAAAAGGAGCATCATGATATGGTTACATGAATAGTGAAGGTCAAATTTTTGTTTGTGCAAAACCCTTGCAGTGCTCTTATACGAAAAACAAACCCCCAACTACCACTATAATTTCTCTGAGTGATAAGGTTTGGAGGGATAAGGTTTGGAGTGAGCTTTAGGGAAGTATTTCGTACGTTTCGTTTGGTGATAATTTAAAATGGCATTAGCAAGTGGGGACATGACAAAGGGCTTTGCTGCGCCAGCTTTTGCATGATCAGGCGCTGATCAACGTTATTGTAGTTCGATATGAATAGATCGCTCTGGTAGGCCACAAAAGGGTCTCCTCTTATGCGCATTGTTGCCCTATTAATAAAGTACGGCCGACTCTTAGGTTACAGGCAAATTTTCAGCACGACCTTTTTCTTGTCTAAGAACTGACATGCAAATGCAACTCACGTTTACAAGATACAGTAATTACAACACAAGATGTTACACGATCTAAGCAATGCATAGGAAGGTAAATACAAAAAGTGTAGAGCACAATTTTATTCCTAGATTAGCGTTAATCGGCCTTTCGGGAATTGGGCCCAGGAACCTAAATTTCACTGAAAACTTAATACCATGCCGCAACTGTTTGCAGTCCGGATAAGATCACTTTTTACATTGCTTAAGTCATAACTGAGCTGGGTCACAAAAAAAGAGAAAAGAAAGAGCCAGCTAATGGGTGATCTTGAATGGAGCATTACACCGAAAGTGTCTGGAGGTGACTGGAGCCTAAGATAATCCCCCCAAAAGGAAACCCATTCAGTGGCCTTTACAATGAAAATAAAAACAGTAAATAAGAACTCAAAGAGGCACATTTACTTAACTGCCTTGAAAAAACTGGGCTCTTAAACGTTAAACAATAGTAGACATGTGTCGCTTTCAAACATGAAGGTTGGTATCTGCCTTTTTAAACTGTATTTAAAAGTGATTTTTATAATTTAACTATAAAGGTGTAAGGTGAAAGTGGATACTACAGCAAAACCAATAATCGTATAGCAAGTTAAGATTATGACAGCAAAACAACGATCTCTACAAATGAGCCGAAAGGTAAAAGCTAAATGATAATGAAAGGTACTTTTTGTTGTACAATTAAATTTTTGTATTAGAATTTTTACTGAAATTTGCTAGAATTCTTAAGTAAGTTAAACATAAGGGGCAAAATTGTTATTTGTATCAGATATTTGTAAAGCACGCTAGTAAAAGGCACAAGTGTAATAACTGAACCAAAGTATAATAAAGATCGTATCGGTAATAACATTTGGACCCTTGAAGCATAATAAAAGTCCCATCTGTAATAACATTTCGAACCCAAGAGTAATAAAGATCCTATCTGTAATAACATTTGGACCCAATTGTAATAAAATTCTCATCTGTTATGACCTTTGGTCGTTGCTGAGATGATATGAGACATGTCCACAACAGTCTTTACATGGTTGTAGCTTAACTTAAAATCGAACTTAAAAGTCTAACATCACGGTTCATGTGACCAAACGGAACGGGAAAAAAATGAACAGGAAAAAACACCACAGAAACTAGCAATGGCTATCAGTTTAAGCTTTGGCAAATTTATAACTGGATATGAAACGTGCTTTTAAAAGAAATTCATCGCTCCAGAAGAAACAGATATGTCATTTGCGTTCTCTTATATAAAATGTCAGACTAATTAACAGTTTTCAACGCAGTGGAATCTGTTTTTTTTTTCCCCTCTGTCTTCTCAATTATCACAGCTGAATTTTGTTAACAGGATTTCATGACTCTCAGTAATTGTACTGAAAAGGAGTACCTTTAATTTGAAATTGTTCCTTGTACATTAGTGAAATCTAATAAAGCAAATGCCGTTGCTAAATACAAATTATATGGCTTTAAAAAAATTTCAAGAATTTCCTTAAATCGATTACCGAACGAATTAAGATAACATAAGAATTTTAACATTAAAACAATAAAAATCACTCTACTAAGAGCGCAGTAAGTGCAAAATACAGTTTGACAGTGACGTGAAAACCATGAAGATAAAATTAGATGGCAGGGGTTGCTTTCTGTAGGTCACGTGTTATTATACTTTTTACCTCTTATCGGCCATAATTTGTTACTGGTATATTACCACCGGTTTGAACATTAAGGTAACTTTTACAAATACGGCCTTTATTAAACTTGGCTCTAAGTGCTATTACAGATAGGACCTTTATTACGCTTGGGTTCAAAGTGTTACGACTGGGACTTTTATTACGCTTGGGTCCAAAATGATGTTATTACAGATGGGACCTTTTTTAAAATTCATGGGTCTAGTTATTACACTTGTGCCTTCTACAGCTGTAGGGCTTTCTCTCAGTCTGTCTAGTTTAAACAGTAGTTTTATTAATAGACCTGAAAAAAAGGGCAGAACTGCCGGCCTGTTACCCGCCCCGTTGTGCCGGCCTCAGACATTTTTCGAAAAAGGGCAGACTGATTGATCATTTTGTTTTTAGCACTGAAATGTATGTCCCACTGATATTCATTTTCTTTCACACAAATAAGGTGGGTTTTAAGGTGGCTCGACTGGATTTTTTTAGGGGGATACCTCCCAAGTTTGAGCCTTAACTACGTCGGCATGAGAAAAGATATGGAAAAAAGGTTACCACAACTGTATTACATAAAGATGAAAATTTCTTATGATCTGGGTTTTATTGCAATCGGAGTCGACATGGCAAAGTAATGACGCCATTACGTTTTTCATTTACCTTTGTGTTTCTCTGTACCAGGAGTTTTTTGAAGAAATCGCTTAAGGGAGTATGTACCTGCCATAATTGCCTCCATTATGGCAAAGTTTGAAGAAATTCTATGAGAGCG